CTGGGGGAAAGAAAGGCCTACTCCTTGCACGAATTTCGTGCATCGGGCCTCTAGTCTATATATATGAATAAGCGACTGTTAGGACCCAAATGACTGGAACGACTGGTCGACCAGTCGCTATGATGTGCACTGACCACCGGGCAGACGCTCAATGCAGGAGCTGCCCCCTGGTGGTCAGTGTGCTCCCACAGCAGGAGCACTGCTCAGCCAGAAGCGGGGCTCACAGCGAGGGCAGCCGCTGCTGCCTCCGCTGCTGCCTCCACGGTGGAGGCAGGCATAGCGGGGCCCGGGGTGAGCGGGAGCGGCATGGCACCCGCCCTGGCTCAGGCTTGGGCTTGGGCTCCTCCCTGGCCACCTGCCACTTAGCACACAGCTATATCCATCATACCCCATAAGCCTGTAGTTACAATCTCCGGAGAACTGTTGAAGCGTGGACACTCGGAGTAACCAGGATGAGCCTGATATCGCTGCTGGGCTCCTGGAACTCTGCCTTGGGCATCGAGATCAAATTTCATCTCTTACCTATTGCCCCGGAGCTACAGAGGAAGGCAGCAATATAACAGTGGCCACAAGGTGGCGACTGACAATCGGGGTAAAAGTTAAAGAGAGATGGATCTGAAGCATGGGGGCGTGGGCAACAGAGCACCCCTGCCCCCCAAGATCCCCAACTTTGTATTGTTCACCTTAGAGTGTCTCTTATCTGGCTCCGAGTGCCAGCATGGCCCAAGGCATTCACTGGGGACCGCCCAGCTGGCAAGGAGCGACCCTGGCCGTAGAAAGGACATTTGGAAATATCTTTTCAGGAAGCTGCGGGGAGGAGGCCAGATTCCCCATGCAACTTCCTGGATGCTCACGGGGACATGGGAACTCCCTGGGCACACGGGTGCGGGCTCCTGATTTCCTTTCAATGTGCACAAATCCGTGCACTGGGCCACCAGTTGGTTATATTTGCACAGAGCAGTGTCTTGGTAGGTCATTGAAGCACCTCTCACAATGTGTTGCCTGGAACTTCCTTCCTCTTGTCTCCTTTTTCCCCTCCTCCCAGTCCTTTTTCCTGGACCAGTGGCATCCTCACCTAATTGTTCACACACTCTCTTATACTGCCACCATTTGTAGCAGTCTCTGCACCTCCTGGTCCTAATGGTGACCCAGTCAACCCTTGGCACACCTCTTCCCTTGCTTCCATACCCCATTACGTATGTTGCAGGAAGAGACTCTCTCTGAGCTGCTGTTTCCCAATCCTAATTCTCCCACCTCTTTCGAAGTTGAGGCCATCCATCTACATAAATTGAATCTCCTATTGCTCCTCCTTCTTCATTGAAGATTCTAGCTCTTGGTTCATATACCTCCCTTTCACTCCACCTCTGACAGCCTCACCAGAAGAAGGCAAAGTCTCTGTGAGCAGCCCATATGCTCCTGACCTTGAAAATTCCAAGACCATCACTGAGCCACAGTCTAGTTCATTTTGTTTCCTGGAGGACTTCATTCAGAACTCTCCCACTGATACCCCATTTTGATTTCAGCCTCCCAACCTCCTTAAATCCCCCCACTCCCCACCACACACCCCCCTCCACAGCTGGGCAATGGTTGAGCCACTCATTCATTCCTGGCATGACCTTCAATAGAATCCTGGCTTCTCATTGCCTTCAACCAAAAAAACCTCCACACCGAATCAAAGCTGCAGTTCACCCTTTCTTTCTCTTTCCTGCAGTGGCGAATTACTATTGGAGAAAAATCCCACAAATTACTATTGGGGCCTCTCTCTAGAGATAGCGGCCATTACCAATTCAAGCTCCTGAACCTTGGTGGGCCTCTTTTACGCATTCTTGGACTTCTCTCTCTCTCCATTCCTTGGCGATTCCTGAGTCTAAACCTTCCCCATACATCTCAAGCTGATCCGTTTTTAGTAGACTGCATTGTCTGAACTGCATTAAGAAAGTGGAGATTATCAGTGCTGATCTATCTCCGCTCCTCAGACACTCCTTGTTAAGTTATTTATTGCCACAGCAATCTCTACCCCGTTCCTGCCAGTCTAAGGGTAGGAGTGCCCTCCTCCTAGCCAAGACTCCTCTTTACTTGTGCCTTTCACTCTGTCTTCTGAATTATTGCTTCAACAATTTTCTTATCCCTTTCTCAGAATGTCAACTTCTAGTTCCCTTCCTTCCTCCCTCCCTTCCCTTTCCTCCGTCCCTCCATCTCAATATCTTGGTGTTAAAAACTCAGATTCGGCCCCGGGGATGGGGGCTCACTTGGATTGAGCATTCTCCCCCGCACCAAAAGGTTGGCATGTTTAGTTTCTCGTCCGGTCACATGTCCCACTTTGTGGACTCGATCCCCAGTATGGCGTAGTCTAGGAGGAGACAAACCACTATTTTCGCCCGGAGGATATCTCTCTCCTCCTC